CCTACCTGCCTACCTGCCTACCTGCCTACCTGCCTACCTGCCTACCTGCCTACCTGCCTACCTGCCTATCTGCCTACCTGCCTATCTGCCTACCTGCCTACCTGCCTACCTACCTACCTGCCTGCCTGCCTGCCTACCTACCTACCTACCTACTACTACTACTACTACTACCACCATTACTACTGCTGCTACTGCTCCTGTTGCTACTACTGCTTCTACTACTGCTGCTGCTACTGCTACTCTTACTGCTACTGCTACTGTTGCTGCTACTGCTACGATGATGATGTTGGACGACAGTTGTAAGGTGGGGGCAATGGCCAAGCCCTCATAATAATAAGACTGATGCTGTACCGAACTTCCGAGTTTTCTGGCTTTGGGCGGCTACGCCTTAAGTGCACTTTGCAAGATCTACTGGCTCATTCCTTGTCAGTGCCATGGGGTTCCGGGTCCCCCAGTAACTAATAATGAGTAATCATCTTACTTCATCATATACTATCACGGTCATAGAGGGGGTGGAGGGAAGTAGCCACCTAGGGCCGACGTGTTGCGTCCGGGATCCTTGTATACTACGTAACCTCCTCCAATATGAGGATTTTGGTAACCCCAACCCCCTAAACCCTAAACCCTAAACCCTAAACCCCAACCCGCCAAAATTAGGACCCTGTTACAATTATGGTAAGGTCCTACTTTGGGGAATTGTGATGACCGAACTTAGCCCATATTACCCCAGGAAGAAAAAAGGATCCGTTTTACAGAAATAAGGAACCAACCCCATACCCCAAAAAGTATAAAGGATCCCTAACATTGATCCAGCAAAACCCTCCTTTTATCATTGTCAAACCTCTCCTATCACCTCAACGGCAGGCAGTTTTAAATGGTTCCCTCATTTGAACTCTAAACGTGCGCTCCCTGCATTGCAGCGGAGGCAAACGAAAAGATTTCAACTCAAGACAAATGGTGAAAGACTGCTATCCCCCCCCCACCCAAAAGCTCCATGAGTGCTTCCAAACCTCCACAAAGGAAAATGAAGAAACACAAACACTACACGTCCCAAACATAGGCTACAAACAGAGCCACAACTCAACTTCTAACCAGAACTCGAATCTTCGAGGACCCCGCCCATCCGTACATTTGGGACATGAGGACGCGGATGAAGGCCAAAAGGCGTTCCCAAATGTTGCTGCCACCCTGTGAATCTTATTGGGGATAGCTTAAGCGTGTAAACCGATTTTATAATGACATATCGGAAAACATAAGGACATAAGGACATACAGGGAGTTTTGGGGGGTTACACAGGGAATAATGGCGACACATCAGGCAAAGCGCGTGAAACATGAAATGGAAACTGAGGGTTAATATAAATATGGGTTTAGGGTTAACTTGTTGGTGATTAGTAGCGAAATGTAGCGAATGAAGAAATGCAAGGGGAACTACTATTTCATTTCGTGTCTGGGCCTTGGGGTTCATGTTTTTGGCAGTCGCAAGAATGGCAACTAAGGATCACTACAAGGGGCTATGGAAGGACTAGTAAAGGATCAACTTCTCTCCATTCCCGACGAATCACCACTAAGCCATCTCACATCGGCTCTGATGGGCTGGCAGAATATGAATGGATGGATGTCTGTGGCTTTATAATGTGTCGATTATGCGATGGATCAGGCAGGGTTAAAGGCTTAGAACACCTGCCAAAATCATGGCCCTGTGTTGATGACAGAGGCACTAATCCCAATATTCTCCTAACACTAGATTGAAATGTATATCATCAGGGCGCTCTTCTTCCGGAGAGAGGACCACATGGGGTAGTTCCAAGGCTAGAGGAAGACTCTCGACGGATTGTGCAAGGATTATTGTCCCTGCTTGCGGGTCATTGCAGTAGGAAGGATGCAATGAGCAAGGGCCCTCTTTCAGTCACATACCCTGTTGGATATATGAAAGACCTCCGCGTTGATGTATCGTGGTGCTATATGGGAGTTGTTATTAGGAAGTTTCTAGACATGTTGTAGGGATAGTTTGAGTAGTAGTTTATCGCAATAACCTTAGTAGCATGCTGGTGACATGA